CCACAGGGGGTGGGTCTCGTCTTTGAGTCAGGCCTCATCTCTATAGCAACCAGCCGCTCACCGAGAGTAACTCTGGCGTGCTCGATGGGGTTATCTATTTATCTACCGGCGCGTTCCACATCAATTACGCTTCACAGAGAATGTGTGTGGGAGAGAACCAATACAGAGTGACCTTTATGACATTACAATCCAGATTTTACTTCTTACCGTCTATTTATTGACTGTTTTGAAGACAAGTTAATCTTTAATTAAATGTTCAATACCTAACTAAAATCACTCTACTAATAAAACGTCCCCTTCATAAATAAGAACAGTTACTAAATTAGAGTAACTTACATCCTTCCAGCTATGACTGCAACGTGGATGTAAATATCCAAAAAGGACCTAACATGCATCAGGAATAACAAGGGGTGCAAGCTTCTCAGAATACTCAACACTGGAAACTTTCTATGGGAATTAATGGGAATACATGGGAATTAATGGGAGTAAACCAGAAATTTGCAAAATTGCAGGTTGGCCTATAATAGGGAACTTAAATGTAGTTGAGAAAAAAAACATCTTGATGGCGCTAATAGTGATATCATTGTGTAACCTATGCTTGTGAGTAAAAACAACCAAAAATAAACATCTGCATCAAAACACACTGCTTAAAAGTCATACTCTATGTTGCATTATTCATACAGTTTGCTTTCTGAGTTCCATACTTCCTTCAATATTTCCAAAATTCCTAAGCTTAACTTCCCATGGAAAGTATCCGGAAATTTTACACCCCTTTGCTATCCTACTTCCCATGGAAAGTTTCTGGAAAGATCCCGGCAATTTCCCAGAATTTTTCAGCCCCTTTGCAACACTAGAAATAACTGGGGGAATTAAATATGAAGAACAGCACACTTCTATAGTTACTTCATTTTCCATGTCCACCCTTGGTCAGGTCGCAACTAACAATATAACTACCCAGAATGCTGAGGCCTGACCAGTCCCCTTCTCTCTCCCTCCCACTAATCTCTCATTCCTGCCCACTTCTCACCTTCTCTTCATCTTTACATGTGATGCTTAGCATAATGACCTCAACACTCTGTGCTGTACCACTTCTGCCTAAACATCTTCCACAAAATGCCTCCCCCTAGAGCCCTAATCTTCATCCTGTATCCCTCGCACTGGAATGAATCACCTATCACCATTAGAGTAACACAAAGCATTCTGAGACCTGTGTCATTTTGCTTCGGTTCACCCAATCCGTATCTTCTAAACTTCTGCTTTGATCTACAGTTAGAATGCAGTGCACCTTGGATTTACGTAATCCTCGCTAGGCTGACTGCAGGGTTTACACTTACAGCTGAGAGCTAGCTTCATCTGTTATCACGGCCCCAAAGCCGCAGACTGAACCAAAGCTGAACAACGTTTAATGCTCGGCGTTACTAATTAGCCGTACCCAGGGTTACGTCCCCCATTAAGAAGAATGTGACCATTCGGAGCTCACATGGAGTTTGGATTCATGCCGGATAAGGTGGCACTGGAGGACTTCCCTGATTGATGTTGCTGCTGAAACTCTGTTAGTGGGGGGTTGGGGGGGGGGGTCTGTATCTCTGCCAATTCAATTCTGCTGATCCGCCTCGGCCCAACCCGGGCTCCAGGGATGTGAACGATCACAGTTAATAACCATCTGTGCAGGCAACAGGTTTATGCTGGATTTGAACATCTCCTGGTATCCTCTAATGTGCAGCCAAGGATGCTCAGTGCGTGGGGGAACAAACAGCTCCTACAAAGGGATCACTGTGATAACCTGTGATTTCATCATGCCTGGATGAATGGCACCATGACTGCAGAGCAGCCTCCCTCCTTTGTGAACCATATTCATCAAAGTCCTGAGCACCACAGATGGATGCTTTAACAATTAAACAGTTGCACATCTTTAAGACTCTTAAAAATTTCTGTTTTAAACCATTTAAATATGGTTTATTTTTAAGAGAAATAACAATTATATTTAAGGCTTATACAGGTCTCACAGATAACCTTGTCACAATGTATGACACAATATATAGTGATACAGAGCACTGTAAAATGGTTAAAGCTATTTATCTGGATACATACTGTACATACATACATACATACATGCAATCATTTCTTCTTCTCCCTTATTGGATGGCTAAAACAGCATCACTTTGGTTCCTAAACCTCTCCTCAGGGGCACCGTTTAACTTCACCACCGGTTACTGATTAACTTACTGATTAACTTAGTTAAATAACTTGATGGGGTATCCATTAACCAGATATGATATGCCAGTGTCCTGTGACCCTGCATAGGGTGACCAGGTACAGAAATCAGATGGATGGATGGATGGATGGATGGATATGCATACATGGGTATACTGAGTGTAAATTGGGTTTGGTGTTTTAAACTAACACCCTGACAAACATAATACAGTTTTATATCAACATGAAGATCATTTAAAACCCATTGTCTGTGACCTAAGATTTTTGCATAGTACAATATATAATCTATAAGGCTGGTTGTATTGTTATACAGCATTATACAAACAGATTACTCTATGATAGTACTGTACCTCCAATGCAAACATGCACCAAATGTAAACCAGTCTTCTAAGATAATGTCATGAGATGTAACTGCAGCCATGGGTTAGATTACTCCCAAAAATAATGCTAAATATGTACTTGCTGCAAGATTACATAACCTAAATGATGTTTTCCTGAAACTTCGAGAAAGGTACACCTCCCACAGTTAAAAACATAGATCCTAAAAACACTGCAGAGGAAATTAATCATTGTTCTTCCGATCATTGCCAACCTATTTCTTATCATCCCAGATTGCCTTAGAGATGTCATAGGGAGTTCAGCCTTCACTGATTGATTTCTGTGGATTAAAATATGCAACACGCACATGTGGCACAAATATGTGTGTATTATACTTACGTACATACACACACACACACACACACACACACCGCATTGGCTTATGTGTTTTAACTGCACATGCACGCTTATATACATATATATACATATATAAACACACACATATACACACACATCGCACATTATATATATATATATATATATATATATGTGTGTGTTTGTATGTATATAAGCGTGCGTGTGTAATAAAACACAGAAGCCAATGCCATGGGTGATCCTGGTCCCATCAAACAGAATCTGAGAAGCAAGCAGAAGGTCTGGGTCTCAGCTACACCAGGACGGGGGCTTTGTCTCCTCCGTCTGGCTAGAGCCAGATGATGGGGGGGGGAGACGCAATTAAGCGGAGAGGGTATGATGAGCAAGTGGTCCGGAAAGCCCGGAGAATATCAGAGCGGAATTATCGGTTCATTTACAGAGGCAGTCTGATTAGGCTGGCGCTTAATTGCTCGTCTGCTATTTTTGGGCCGTACGCTCATTTGAATATCTGGCACCGCCCCCGCGCCGGTGACAATCCCCCTACCCTGAGTATGCCAGCATGGCTTGAAGGTCAGCCCCACTGAGAGATGTCCCTGAGCTGAGGTGGGAGAGAGGGGGATTGTGGGAGAGGGAGGCTCCTGGGCCACGACCCCCGGGGGCCCAGCAGATAAGGATCGATAGTTAATTGTGAGAACACTGATAGTGAGAAATCTGACCTCCCTGCTGAGGGAAGACAGCCCCCCTCTCTGACGGTAAACTTTTCAAGGAAACCTCACCAAAGGGCGGTTTGAATTTATCGACGTAAACCTCCGAGTGCCGGGGACCCTGCCACCGCATCACAATGGGCCTGTCTGCCATGTTCTCCGATGCTATCTGCCGGATCGTGTCCGGAATTCTAAGCAGCGGGACGCCTTCGGCATCGTTTTTTTTTTCCCCAACCATGAAAGGGGAGGTTTCAATTTGGCACCAGCAACGGGAAGCAAGAGCGCCCCCGCCAGGAATACACAGGCTTCTACTGCCCGCCGTGCGCGTCCAATTGGCCCTGGCACTGCCGCCAGCCTCTTTGGCGCCCGGCGATGTGTGAAGAAGGGTGGGGAGCTCTTTGTATCTCCACACCCCCAACCCATTTCACTGCTCCAAAGCTTCACAGTCGACTGATACAGATAAGGCAGAACAGAAAGTCTGTAAACAGTGCTGAATGGCGTATAAAAATACCATAATAAGAACTGGATGCACACTGATCGTGGGTGATGTCCGTGGTCTAAAATTTCAAATCTAACACTGAGAAACCAGCTGGATGCCTTGAACTCAGGCACCGATTCGAGCCGATTCAAACTCATTCTGCCCGTCTTCCCGTGGCATCGTTTCACCCTCGTTTGCGTCGCCCGCCGCCACAAAACACTAATAAATCCCCCCGCGGGCTGTAATCCCTCCGTGGCTGGCAGCGCCGCCCCATCATGTGACACATCGCCCCCCCCCTTTCATGATGCCCCCCCCGCTGTGTCTGTGCACCCCTGGCCTGATTTCATTATCCCGCGTTCCCGGTCAGCTCCTGCAGCAGGAGACTGAGCTGCCCTTTCAGATAACACAACAAAGGGGAGGGATTTATGGGGCTTTGGAGCCCTGGTTTAGGGGGAGACAGCTGGGGGGGGGGGGGGGAGCTTCATGTGTGCTTTGTGACCATGACTGAGGTCCTTGAGGTAGAAGAACTTCACCCCGAATCTCATAACTCACCCTGTTCTGTCAGCTCTTTGGAAACATTCAGCCCTAATGTATCCATCTACGGGCCTCCCCACATCCCTGCTACCATTCTCATCTTCGAGGACTAAAAGAATCACAATCGAAGCAGCGCAAACGACGTTTGGTAGAATCATTCGAGCGGCATCGCCACAGCCGTTCTTTAATTTCTCTGCGACTGACTGATTTAGCTTTCTCCACTCTGGTTGGCAACGACCTGGTCATGAGGCGGCTGCATAGCAACACTGAAGACAAGCACGGCTATTTTAGTCCCCATTAATGAAACGGGGACGGTAGCGCCGTCAGAATGAGGAGGGCCGGCCGCCACGTTGAGCAGGTACGTAAGGGGTGCTCACCTCAGAAGCACCACCTGGACCCCTGCTTTCAGCATCTCATCCTGCTCCAATTTCCTGTCGAGAAAAAAAACAGACGTGCCCATGGTAAGCGTACCCTTCACACTTTCTGTAATTATCAGGATCTGATTCACACATGCACTAACACTGACAGATGATTTGTTAACCTTTCCTCCAATCAGCAGTAGGCCTGTCACTAAACAGGGGGTGAGAAATATGAGATGTCCCTGTCTATTTATGCATCGGAGGCTTTGTGACCCCCCCCCAGCACAGCTTCGGGACCGTAATCTTGTCCTCCGCTATGAGCTTATCCATCCTTGACCAGACACGTCTCCTAAGCTCGTCCCCTGGCATCTCCGTTACGCAGCCAGCTTATTGAACTGCTTGTTAATACCGTATATCTGCCAGCCGTTCCTCCCCGTCTCCTTTTTTTTTTTTGTTTACATTTTTGTCACCAGTTAAGTGAAGAGTATAATTAATGAGAAACCGGGAGGGTGTCAATTGACATTCCTGGGAGAGCTCCCACGACGAGACTGAATAATAGACGAAGGCGTTTGGTAACGTGGCTGTGAAGGGCCTGATAAGATAGCTAGCAGGCTTCCCTGGCAGACGTGAAGGGAGTGAAAAAAAGGGGAACGCTATGTATCAGTTGCAAAACGCAGGAATTAAAGGTGAATGTTAATCAGTCGTGCCATGGCGCACTTAAAGGGAAAGTCGGTGTTAATGCCAGACAAAAGGCGATGAGAAGAACATACGGTGACGCAAAGACAGGCGTGTAGATGCTACACGGTCAGGTCAATGAGGCAGAACATGCGAGGAAATGAGGCAGGGGGATAAATGTGTGATGGTATCCAGGGCTGATGGAGATAAGCATGTGCGTGTGTGGGTGAAAATACGCACCGGCAGTCATGACCCTACCCCAAAAAAACCCACAACACGATGACACTGTTCATGTACCACCGAGCACAACACTTAAACTCCTATTACTAAGGAGGCACATAAACAATGCGAATAAATTGCCAACAATTTGCGGCAGCCTTAATAATTCATGCACATCTGTTGTATGGGAAAACGCCAGAGGTCATAACGAATGCGGAGACTCATCGGGAGAGGTCATTGGGGAAGATGGCTCCTGTTCTCTTACAGGGGATGAGGTAAGATCTCATTGTGCTTCATGCTTCTAGAACATGCCAGTGTCACTGTTAGGCGGATAAGGCAATATGCTACCCACAAAAACCCTGCCGACAACTTCTACATCGCCAGCTTGGACAGAAACACAGACTGTAAAAGCAAGCACAAAAAAAAAAAAAACATTTTTTTTTCACATCCTTCATCTACATCAATTCCCTCTCCTTTCCGTCGTTTTTGTGCTACTGATACATTTTTATACATCTCAGCACAAACACATAAGCTAATTGTCAGGATTCTCAGTGGCTTCGCTTGGCCAAAGCCAGCCGACAGATGGGAGGGCAGGGGACCGACTCTGTGTTCTCCATTTCTTTTTTCTAGATTACAGAAATAAAAATTCAGAAATGACGAGAACAAGCTTTACTCAGCTGGAGCTCAGAGTCCAATGCAGTGTAAAAAAATAATGCGACAAACTCAAACATTTTTAAATACTGAAGAAG